TTCAAGACCAGGCTGGATGGGGCTTGGAGCAACCTGGTCTGGTAGGAGGTGTCCCTGCCCATGGCAAGGGGTTGGAACTGGATGATCTTGAAGGTCCCTTCCAACCGAAACCATTCTATGATTCTATGATCTACATTGGGTTTAAAGGAAAAAAGTTATGCGTGCCCATAGGGTTTGAAAGATATGTGTTGGAAATTTATGGAGTCCACAGAAGCCACCTTATGAAGATTATGAAACCCTTGATTAGCAAGTGGTTGGAGCTGGGAAGTATTACTGGGAGGTATCACATAGGCTTCACCCGACACACTTGACTCCAGCTATCACATTATGGCCATGCTCAAAGACTGGACACTGATTGGATAGACTTTCAGTCTAACCCAATATGGATGACTTTTGGGGTTTGATATTCTTATATACATTCAAGAACCAGACACAATACTGAAACAAGAAAGAAACTATAAAAGCTACCTCAAGGATTCTAGTATGGGTTACTAGATCCAAGTTGCCAGTGTGCCTGAAAAACAAAGACCCTCGTTTCGAGGAAATACAGATCTGACATAAATATTCTGTCTAAAATATGCCATGAACAATCAGACAATTAATAAAAGGTGCAAGATTTCTTTCCTAGAAATTGAAAACAATCTGAAAATAAATATTCACATGCATGAGAAACTTTTTGCAAATCTAGTAAGCATATATTGCATGGCAGAAAGACAAAGACTTTATGCAAAGTAAATCTTTCTTTCAATTTAACAGGAACTAGTGCAGAATTAGATATTAATTTAGTGGCGGATTGTGTGGGTTGTGTGAATAACACACGTTCATTAATGACGTCTTGGAAATAAACTTACATGAATTAAAATTTAATATATTATGGAGAACAAAGTTTTTTGTGCTTTTACAGCCTGATCCAGCTCCTTAAGAAGATGAAAGAAATATTGCCATTCACTTGTGTGAGTGCTGGGCGAGGTTGATACCAAGAAAATAACAACCCAACAACCCATATGCTTCTGATTCTGCTGGGGTCTTGGTTGTGAAGAACAGTCACCGCTTCGATGAAGGAAGTACTATGGATCTCAAAAAAAGAGTAATTGCTGATTTACACCATTTTGGGAGGAGAGTCTGGTCTGCCCTTGGGTGCATGCCTTCTTAACCCCTTAACACGTGGCAGTAAGTAAATCCTGCAGAAAAGCTGCTGAACTTGCACATGCAGTAACTTCTAAAGTAAACTCCGTGGCTGCCAAAAAGCCTATGAGAAGTCAGAAATAACTTACAATATGGCAGGTGTTAGAGTGCAATAAGGGCATGTCTCAGGTACGTTATAAAACACAGACTGAAGCGGTTCCAGGATCTGAGAGTTATTACAATACAGACTCTGAGGTTGCTCTTTAGATGAAATTCCTCCTACTATATCTTCAAACCATTTTTTCCCCTTATTTGCTCCATTCACCACATTTAGATGCCACCATCTTGGATTTCCTTCTCTGAAAAGGAAATCCCCACTTCTCAGCATGAAACTTGAAAAGCTTTCGGTTGTAAAAGGAGCTGCTGAGCCTACGTCCTACACCCAGGTAACCTAAGCCATGTGGAAATATGAACTGTTCACAACCTTCAAGTCCTCCAAATCTGGCCAAGATTAGGACCTAAGCCAGCACCATCAGTACCTCAAGTAGCAGACGGCAGTGGTTAGTGGGAAAGTCAAAAGTCAAGGGAGTGGTGAGAGTTGCCAAAGCACCTAAGAATATGTGTGCAATAAGCACCACTCTTGGAAAAGAGATGTTTGCACTAGTTTTGTGTGTGCTGGTACATGCCTATGAGAATTTCCATCCAGAAAAAGATTACTTTAGTCCTGAGAGTAAGATGCTGCCTCCCAACTACCAAGACCTGTCTCTGGTGGGATGCTGCCTCCTGAATAAGAAGCCTTGTCTCCCAGTCCACTGCAGCAACATAGCCTCCCCACCAGGTGGGCATGACCCTCAGTGCCTGTGGAAAACACATCTTTAGGTAGGGCATGTGCTCTGTGACCACAAAGAGCCAGGCTTTGGGGGGGAACTCTTGAATTAAGCCAGAGGGACTTCACAGCTCCAAGAATCTGACTTTTTGGCCCTTTTGAAAAATCTCACACTAGATCGTACAAAACTGGCGGTATCCACAAGAGTATAAATTAGAACTTCAAAAAGAATTACTCCAAGAAGTGAAACCCAGCCTTTCATTAAGCCAAGGCTTCATCCTGTGATGGCAAAAACCAGAAACCAGGACCACGTTGCTTCATCTCTAGTGTGAGACAAGAAAAGCTTTGGATACAGCTACAGTCAGGATTTTGCTTCACAGGAGGAAATCCAAGATGGTGACTGTGAAGTGACAAATTCCTGCTCGTGCTGTTTTATTTCTGCTGGACGTAATGAGGTTGTTTAACTAGCCTGGCCTCTGCCTAAAGTTAATTCCCGCACACACACGGCCTCATGTTTTCTGGATCAGTAGCAGAGATATCATGAGAAACACTTTTCATTTCAGTTTCCCTAGAAGGATACTAAGAATATGGAGTGAGAAAGCAAAATTTATCTTCTCAAACCTCCAGTTAGTCTCCAATTTATACAAACCCCCTTTTTTTTTCACTTGCTGATAGGAAAACTATACACCTCCTTCAGGTCTGGGGTTTTGTTGGTTTCATTTTTTTTTTCATTTCTCAAGGCAGCAGAACTGCCTCCCCTCCCACCCCAGCAAAGGTGGTAAAAATAGGCACTGGTTTAGCCTGGGGCTTGTTTGGGGAGAAGGGCTGTTAGGTTTTTTAAGCTGTTAAGGTGGTCATTCTGTCAATGGTGCTAATCCATCCTCCTTTCCAGAGATTATTCCTTATTGACAGTTCTCTTCTATCAGAGATCTGCTTTATGAGGTCTTTTCTCACTCTTTTTTTCTGCATTGCGATGCAGCACATCACGTAGCAGCCATATCACAGAGTGGAGACACTACTAGTGGTGGCAAACGGCTCCCTTCTCATCCAGGATTTCATCTTCCTTTGGCTTGTGGTCAGCAGCTGTGGACTCCCCAACACAGAGGTGGACTCTCTTTTGCTCCTTCGCTCAGCCTCCTTTTTTTTTTAATCCTCCACTGTGCCAAGAAAATTACTTTGAAAGGTATTTGGAAGCTTTTCGACTTCAACATTTTTCAAGGTGTCAGGCTGGGACTTTCCCCAAAAATAGCAATAGTTAACTTAGCTAGCGATCATGTTTTAAATGTTTGTTATATTTTTAAAGAGGTTTTTTCCTTTCTTCTGAAACGTGCCAGATATATGGGGTTTCTGTTCCATGCAGTGGTTCCCCTCACTTTTATTTTCTTGTTTTTAGTGGGAAAGTCAATGAACAGTGGTTTAGGAAGACGGGAAGGAGGTAGAGCAAATAGTAAGCACAAATCAAGGAGAATTTCCTTGTTCTTCCCTCAGGAAACCACGTCTCCTTTGTTTCTGGTTTTCTTTAAGAAATAGAAAAAAGCCACTTAAGTTAGCAAAAAAAAAGTCTGTCCCGTTCCAGCAGAGCAACTGATAGAGCTCAAAGTGTGTTATGAAGATGAAACCTGATCAGCTTGGACACTTAACTTAGACATCTTTTCTTTAGCCACCAAAACACAAGGGGTTGCCCTGTGCCTGCGAGCAGCTGCATGCAGATGGTGGTGCATTGAACTCACCCACAAGAGTTTGAACTGCAAAGCGTACAGTAAATCCATTCTGGATTGCAAACACTTTCTGGTTGTTTGTGTTTTTTTTCAAATTCCTTCTTGTTTTCACCCATCCTGGCAAATTTTTGCCCTTCATGAGCTTCACAAGTCAAATCAGGCAAGGAGGACGCCGCTTATTGTTCCACTCCCAGTGAAAAAGGGTGGAGAAAGGATTCGTCATCGCACTAAGTTATGGGAAGGGTTTTGGTTCCCTAAGATTCCACTGTAGTCAGTGGAGAGGGATGGCAACTCCCGGCTCAAATTGCAGGTATGTGAAAGCACTCTCTGGAAAGGCTCTTTTCTCCCTCCATGACTTTGGAATGAACCCAGGTAATGAAGACAGATACAGATAGACAACAGCTGTAGGAAAAAAAAACCCTCTTCTTTTTATCAGTCATTGGTTTAAGGAGGAAAATGCTTCTTACACACACTCTCTCTCTCTCTCTCTGTCCCCACCGCTACATTTTACAGAACAGGAATCAAATCCCAGGACACGAAGATGCTCAGGGGGCTGGAGCCCCTCTGCTGTGAGGACAGGCTGAGAGAGTTGTTCAGCCTGGAGAAGAGAAGGCTCCAGGGAGACCTTAGAACCCCTTCCAGTCCCTAAAGGGGCTTCAAGAGAGATGGGGAGGGACTCTGGATCAGGGAGGGGAGCCATAGAATGAGGGGGAATGGTTTTAAATTGGAAGAGGGGAGATTCAGATTAGATATTGGGAAGAAATTCCTTCCTGTGAGGGTGGTGAGGCACTGGAACAGGTTGCCCAGAGAAGCTGTGGCTGCCCCATCCCTGGAGGGGTTCAAGACCAGGCTGGATGGGGCTTGGAGCAACCTGGTCTGGTGGGAGGTGTCCCTGCCCATGAAAGGGGGTTGGAACTTGATGATCTTTAAGGTTCCTTCCAACCCAAACCATTCTATGATTCTATGAAATGCAAGATACCTGACCTGGAATCAAACCAGGACCCTGGGACTTAAATGTGCTACAAGCGCATATATATTTATGTGCTTTACACAGCAAATGCGTAAATGTTTGTACAGCATCAGGTACACAACTTGGCTTTGCAGTCATACTAGGAACCACAGTGCCTAGAATTAATTGAACAAATTTATGAGAATTTATAATAAATTGTGCCCTTTCCCCCCAGCAATATGCATGCAAGGAAAACTCGAGCTCGGTTTAGTTTGGTGCAAATTGTTTAGGGAATTATTGCAGGAGGAAAAGAGGCGTATATTCCAGGCTACTGCTGGGGTTATGTGTCATCTGGCTCAGCAGCTCTGGGGCATTAACTGACATGGCGTATCAGGTTAGGTTAATAATCTACCACTTGGTTCTGCTTGAGCAGATCTGCGTGCCCAGGGCAGAGATCAGTGACAAACACGGGGTCTGGGAGGGAAAGGATTAGTTGCTGTGTGATCAGCGGGATGGCACTCGCACCACGAGATGTACAGACTTAATGCCTGGATCTGCTGTGAATCAGAAGCTACATCTGGAAAGTAGCAATACGAATCTGACTCTCCAGGGATGCCCACGGCAGCGAAAGTGGGCTTGGATGACAAAATGACAGACACTGGCAACTTGGACAGGATATTACCGCAATGGGAGAAAAGCTTAAAGGATATAAAAATACCTGCTTGTTTTAACAAGATGCCCCAAGAGACTGGGAAGACCTTCCCTCACTCCAAACAAGTCGGGAATTACCTAGTAGGCAAAATGATCAACAAGGGCTCCTTTGCCAAGGTGATGGAGGGGCTGCACATCCCCACGGGGGAGAAGGTAAGCTCCTCACGAGCGGGTACCAAGCACTAGGAATCTCAAGAAACCTCACGCTAACTTATGTCAGAGAATTTCAGACCATTTAATCCGCAAACCACAATCTACTCAGTGAATTATCCTCTGAACCTTATCCTCATAAATTAACCTCATAAATTGAGTTTATTGCTCATGCATAATCAGCCACATGTGTGACTATGTACTGAGTGCAACTGTTTTCACAATTATAAAACAATATAGAAAACAAAGATGTCCTCCTGCTGAAAGAGAACAGGATAATGGCATGGGGAAAATTTCATATCTGCTTTCCCTGATAATTCTCACTGAGTAATTAGTGTCATGTATGTGACCTATAAAGCTATGGACAACACTTAAGGAACAGCCAGCCACTCCACCAGCAAACATTTATATGGCAAGATACAGATAACATCTGTTATCTTTAGCTCAGTTGGGCTAAAATAACATACCATGAGATGTAACTTGGGAAAGGTGGATTACTATCAAGTGGCTTTTTGATTTTTACTTTTCTTATGGCCTCAGTAGCTTCACTGGCTGACTATCTGCCCACTCGGCAAAGGGTCTAATCTCAGCCCATTATAACCAGTACCTTGAATGGCTTTTGGACCAAGTCAGAAGAGCGTATGTTAGAAAATAAAATGAGGTAGAGTACAGATGCAGCTAACAGTCAAGCATGTAGGGATTTTTTGCACTTGAGAACGTTTCATATATGTGTATTTATTACTGTAATAAGGTGTACAGATATGAGAGTTCAGCCTTCTTGTTTTGGCTTTCAAGAGAAATAAACAGTGCACTCTTCCATCGAGAATGTCTCCCTCTGATTATCACCACCACATCAAAAACAGCTTCTCCTGCATGTCAGCCTACTCCCCATCCTCTTGGAAATTAATCTAGGTTGCAAATTTTGTTGTCGATTTGCGTATGTCCTACAATTTAGGTAGCCATAAAAGTCATTGACAAGAGAAAAGCCAAGCAGGATTCCTATGTTTTGAAAAACATGAAGCGCGAGCCACGGATACACCAGATGATTAAGCACCCCAATGTTGTTCGGCTATATGAGACCTTGGAGACTCACAACTCCTATTACATGGTGATGGAGCTGTGCCTCGGCGGGGACCTCCTGGACAGAATTTGTGACAAAAAGAGGCTCACGGAAAGGGAAGTAAGGAGATACACCAGGCAGATTCTGTCTGCAGTAGAGCACCTGCATTGCCAGGGGATTGTTCACAGGTAAGATGTTTCCCTCCTTCCAAAGAACAGTAAGAAAGGAAAGTGCGCAACACAGAGCCCTTCTCTGGGACTATTTCTTTAACTTTGCCTTGTGAAAGCAGGGATTGCAAAGATGACTATGTACTCTCAGCCCATCTTAATAAATCATTTTATTCTCAGTGGTGGTAGAGGATAAGCCATTATGCACTCCTTGGGGAGTAAAGTAACAAAATCCAGGGATGAGAGCTGATGAGCACAGCAAATTAGTACTTTGCCAAGATTATTTCAGAATTAGCTGGTGACAAGCGTGTATCTAATTCAAATATTTCAGTATGGCTGTGCATAAAAATATTGATTTCATTCAGTAAGCCACAACATATTGAAATAACCACACATCACTCAGGACAGAAGACCGAGGAATCACAGCTCAGTGGTTGCACAGAGGACATGGTCCTTCAGGTCCAGGTCTGTGGCAGGTCAGTGACCTTTCCATTGTGGGACAGATCACAATTTCAGCCACTACCAGAGGAACCTGAGGAGCCCAAGCAAGGAGAGCTCATCTTCATCTTCTTCCCCTCACCAGGGATCTCGGCACATATACCAAGGGCAACAGAATAAGGACTTCCATTTTAGGTGGGGCAATAGGAAAAAAGCAGTTTTTCCCACCAGTTTTCTCTTTTACTTAATCATTCACGGTCAATCAGATCCTTAATTTTAATGGAAAGAACACCCATCAAGCAAGCCCCCAGGACCTAGCAAGTAATCCAGTTGACTGTATCGTTACCGAAACCATGAAACAAATAAGCTCTTAATACGATGGCTCAGAATTTACAAGTACTTTGTGACTTGAAATGCTTGAAATCCAGCACTTAATTATATTGGATTTGTTAATTAAGAAGGAATGGTCAAGAAATAAATAGTCAGTATCTGGCCTAGAGAATTTAAACAAACAAAAAAGTCCACACCAGAAAAGAAACCCAAAGCACTTCACCCATTTAGTCCAGGGTGACATCCGTGCCTTGCTGGTTCCCTAACTAATCTATTTCACAGTGTTTCTTCAGTGCCCATGATCATAACATTTATGTTCTTCCCATGACAACATCCCTCATGAATTTCTCAACCCTCTTCCCTTCTTTTTGTTTGGAAACAACCCTTCCTGGTGAGCAGGGGAGTAGCCTGACTTCTTCCCCTATTTTTCCTCTGTTGGTATCGTTTTGCTGGGAAAGCTTTGTGTGAGAGAAGAATTTTCCTCCACACCCTGACAGCAGCCAGGTACGAAGTGGTGTGAGCTCCTCCAGAGATTTGTTTTACTATCAAACCCCCCTAATTAAAGGAAAACTCATCCCTGGCTCTCAAGTGCCTTGTCATGGGGTTTGTGAAGTTGCAAGGTCGTGAGCGTAGGTTTGGTCAGCAGTACCTTAACTCGTGATCTGCTGCTAGCTTTGAGATTCAGAGCTGCAGCCTTCACCTCATACCAGAAGCAGACTGGGAAGGATCTGGAAGGGCTTTCCCGCTCAGCTCCAGCTGCAGTGATTTACAGCAACTCACTGCGGAGGTTAAACCAACGAGGATAATTGTGGGTGTATCCTCTTCTGAAAAGAAGGCATCAATGTTTCCAGAAAGATGAGCACAGAAATAGGAAAGTTACCTCACAAAGTCAATCATCTGATTTTCTCATCTAAGCACTGAGCAAAGCTCAACTCTTTGCGTTGCTTTAACACAAGGAAAGGAGAGTCCCCAAAGTTCCTGGTGGGAACGACTGCTGCTCCACACTTACCCCGGAGCCCCACAGGTGTCAGGGCATGGCTGGGGAAGGTGCTGGTAAAATCCCCCCATGTATCATGGTAGTAATTTAATGAGATGTATAATTGTGTGCCAATGCTTGGGTCTATGCCTGGGGCCTCCTTATTTTACTAGAATGGAGGAGCCTGGTAATAGCAAGATCTCATTCCTAAGCAGTGAGTTTAAGAATTTGCTAATCCAATTTACTTTTGCTCAGAAGTGTCTTAACGGGCATTCCTGATTTTTAATCCTGGGATATATCTCAAAAAAACAGTATTTTCTATTGTCTTAATGATATATTCAATGAAAACCTGCCCAGTTTTGTAACTATTTTTAGTCCAAATTAATATTGCTCATCAGAAATCCCGTGCTATGTTTTGAGTGCTATTTTGTTTCCCGAGCTTTACTTTTCCTATTCAGCACTAAAATCAGCACTGATCCGACAAATCCTTACGGCTTATATTAAGGTTAAGTCTACTTTTCATAGTAAAGGTAGTACCTTTCTTGTCCACGTGAGACCACAGTTGCAAAAATGATCAGGAAGATGGAGGATTTACTCACTTTTGCCTGTTCATCCAGCACACAGAGTTTTCCTGTGCCAGATATAAGAAGGCTCAGGCACAAGATCAGGTTCAGCAGCTTCACAAGGTAATACTCATCAGCTGAGCTCTGCTAACGATCCCTGTGCCTGCTCTAGACAAGGCCAAGTGGTGAGGTAATGCATCTGAGCTTAAAAACCTCAAATAAAGACATACAAGCTAAATCACATCATTACCTCGCAATTGGATTGCATGAGCACATGCACACAGTCAGCTACCAACTCCTAAAGTTGGCACTTGCTAAGAGACAGTAACTTGCTTGTATGTACAGTTCCTAATTTTTCCTGGCTATTTTCCCTTCTCCCTTATAAAAATGCCATATATCCTTCTGAATCACTACTGGACCAAAGACCTGAAGAAGCATCACAAGCTGCCCTCTCTGTAAGTCCCCATGAGAATGAGAAAAAATTCATGATGTTGCTTAAACTTACAGCGTTTCTGGGAAAGTTTCCTTTGGAAAAAAAAAAAAAAACAAAACCAAACAAGATGTATCTTTGATGCAAGATAATTTCTGACACTCTGTAAACTTTAATAGTGACCATGATCAGGTTTTTCAGGCAAGAAAGAATACATTTTTATTTTTATTAACTGCGTGAGCACTCAGCTCAGCCTATAGAAAAGCAGTCGTGGTGATCCAGTGTAACATAATTAAATTGTAGTGTAGTAAAAGTCATTGGAGTGCGCTGTGGGGTGCTAAATCCAATAGAAATATCAGATTTGCAGTGGCCTGAAACACAACTAGTTTTAAACCCCAAGGTTTTAGAGCACAGGACTATGTCACAGGGGTAGGCTATGAACAAAGTCATCTCAAATCTACCTCCCAGCTTTTGGGCAATGTCTTATTTGCCACTCTAGAAAACACACTATTCAAATTAAAACCGATTAAAGAGTTATCATTAAAACCATCTCCAACCCATTCTCAGCTTGGGACAGCAGAGGTTGCTGTCCTATCCAGAACCATGGAGATATATGGACACTGATAAAGCCACCCATCAGGACCACTAGGTACACCTCTGGACTTCACCCCCTGCAGCAGCGCAGTGCTGTTGGTGCAGCACCAGTCCTCCCAGTTTTTTCTCCTTGCTCTTGTCCTTGTTCCCATCCCTCCTTCTGGTTTGTCCTCCTACACTTTGAGCAGCCTGGTCTAGTGGGGGGTGTCCCTGCCCAGGGCAGGGGGTTGGAACTTGATGATCTTTAAGGTCCCTTCCAACTCCAAATATTCTATGGTTCTATGATACTCTCCAAGGTCTGTGGGCTTATGAAAGCCCTTCATGACTTCAGGGAGGGTGGGAGGGGTATCCACCTACCCAGAGCCCCTTCTGAAACTTGTTCTGTCCCCCCCTGTCCCCCGCAGAGCTGAGGGAAGCCCCCGGGATGGGAGTCAGCAAAGCATTGCAGGCTCCTGGATCGCCTCCCAACACCCAAATTACACTGGCTGAGGATTCCCCCGTGCTGCGAAAGATTTCAGCTGCCACTTCGGGTGCTCCCCACCGTGCAGCAATATTCCAGCTTTTGGTTTTAATTTGTAAGGATATAAATGTTCCCACAATAAGCAAGTACACGTCTGAGTCAGCCAACAGCATTTTTCCTGCAGATCTGAATTATGTCCTCCTGCAGGGGCGGCTGATACCAGTTGACCCTGTTTACATAAACATCACTGCAGAGATGTCTCCACCTTCGGGGTATCTGTCCCTACCCAGCCTTGGTCCACCACCCCTCCTCAGCAAGGTCTTACTTTCCAGTTCCCTTCTCATCCTTCCTACCTCTCAGGCACGATACACCGACAAAACAAAGCAGAAATACTCAACACTGCTCAGTACTTCAAACAAAGACAAAAACACTCCAGGTCCAAGTACGTGCAACTTCCATTTTTTAAACAAATGAAGAAATAAATTATTTTAATTTAAAAAAAAAAAATCAGTAGAAGGGATGATTCCTAAAATGAATGGTCTATTTAAAATATACATATTCATAAAATATTCCATGGAATACAGAAAGTTTCCATTTTCCCATCTGAAAACTTCAGGAAGGAATAAGGATCTTGTTACAATTGTAGGCAGAGCTGTGCAGATCTATTGTTATTATTTCAATTAAACTTTGCTAAAAACTATCTGCAAATGGTTAGCTGGGACGTCAGGCATCCTAAAGTTTGCTTTCTGCCTTCATTTCAGGGACCTAAAAATCGAGAATTTTCTTCTTGATGAGAACAACAACATCAAAATCGTTGGTAGGTGCTCATTATCTGTGAAGCTTGTTTTCCTCTTTTTATTTTGTGTGGTTTTCGGTGACAATTCAGCTACTATTTAAATAGCACAGTTTTTAGTGAGCTTGTGATTATTCAATAAACATATCCGAGCTTTTAGAATAAATAAAAGTTATGAAGTATAACTTAACAACTTGTTTATTTAAGCTTTAACTAAAACATATTTTTAAGAGAACAAGCAAAACAATTTTGCCTATTGTTTTCCCTTGTGTATTGCTCTAGAAGCAAGAAACAATTACAGCTTTTATGTGTAGAAAGCTGTTCCTTGCAGAAGTGATTTGTAGACAAAGAAATAAATCTTCTGGGGTGAAACGCAGGTATGGACACACCAGCTTCTGTCGAGTCATTACTCCAACTAGAAACTTCATCATTTGGTATATGTACAGAAAAAAAAAGGAAAAAAAAGACTTTTTTGGTCACTAACAGAAACCTTTCCAGGCTTGTGAAGCAAACGTTTATAAAAATGAGGGAATTTGCACCAAGCAGTTAACACAGCTCAGAGAAACATTAATTTTATTCTATGGAAACCACACAGAAAAATCCCCGCAAGGGAAGCTCACTCTTAGAGACGCCACATGTTTAACCCAGTGTTTCCCAAACTTTTAAAAGCTTAACACCTCCGAGAAAAAAGGCACCAACTCTTCACCCCTGTTTTATAGCCAGCCAACCCTTTACAATCGCACCTTTCTCTTCCCTCCCCCTTGCACACATGCACATAGACAGAGAAAAAGGCTTAAGCCAGCACATTTTACCCCACGTTTACAACAGGCTAAAGCAGACCCAGCTGAGCTGAGCCGTAGCTCATTAAGCCCCACTAACGCAGCTGTGGAGCTAAGCTCTTCTACTAAGAGGCAAACTCTTAGAGGCAAGCTAAAATACAGTCAACTGAGGCAAACTAAAATACCTAAACCAAAATCAACCAAACCAGGCGTGCAGCCCCATGGCTGGGTAACTTCACTGTTACCTCTGCTAATTCATGGCACGTTTATTGGAACCCAAGCCGGCATCCACAGCTGAGGTGTCACCAGATGCTAGAGCCAGCTGCTGTTTTCATCTTTCTCCCATCTACATTCATAAAGTTAAACTGTTTTGAGTTTTGAGGGACTGTTTGCCAGGAGGTGTAATGATAGGACAAGGGGAAACGGTTTTAAATTGGAAGAAAAAAGATTCAGATTAGATCTCAGGTTTACTATGAGGGTGGTGAGACACTGGAACAGGTTGCCCAGAGAAGCTGTGGCTGCCCCATCCCTGGAGGGGTTCAAGGCCAGGCTGGATGGGGCTTGGAGCAACCTGGTCTGGTGGGAGGTGTCCCTGCCCAGGGCAGGGGGTTGGAACTCGATGATCTTTGAGGTCCCTTCCAACTCTAACCATTCTATGATTCTATGATTCTATGATTCTAAGAGACTTGTTTGCCTTTGTTTTTGTGACCGTCAGATTTTGGACTGAGCAATACTGCAAAGTTTGAGGGTCTCTCTCAGGAGCTGTTACACACTCAGTGTGGAAGCCCAGCTTATGCTGCCCCAGAACTCCTTGCTCATAGGAAATATGGTCCGAAGGTGGACATCTGGTCCATGTAAGTAGAAATAAAAATATACTTATTGAAAGGCTCTCAGCACTTGAATGGTTTAGACAAGAGTCTGATATAAATAGGCTGGTGGCACTCTGCTTTGGGGCATCAATAGGGAAAGCAGAGATATATCAGACGGGATGCCAGAGAAAAGAACAAAATTATGGGTGTGAAAAATATACCTTGAAATGTGTATCTGTTGCAGAACACTGGAGAAAAAAAATGAATGAGCAACGCACATGCTATTCTGGGGTAGGCTGTGGGAAGGGAAGTCAGCAGAGGGGGAAATATCCAGCTCTAGGAGCCTGTTCTGAAAAGACAGAGAAAGAGCTTGTATGTACCAGCTCCCCCCAGATAAACCCCCCAACCTCCTGTCCTTCTGGTACACATGTACAGCTGTCAGAACTGACATCTGAGTCAATTTTGTTAAAATCAGAAGCCCTGGAAACCCTGGGCTGCCAAATGAGCATTTCTGTCAACTTTGCCAAAAGAAGAAATCCAAGCAGAAAAATTAAGTCTCAGGGACACACAAACCAAAGATGTGGCTACAAGAGAGGCAGGAGACCTTCATCCATACCTTAGCTAGACCTTTATATCAGATTATGACTAAAAAGAGGAGTTATTTACCTCATAGGTGGCATAAACCTGATTGGACTCCATTTTCTTCGTTCATTACATCTATAGGATATGTCTCTTATAATAAAGAATAATGCAGAGGGTGCCATCAGAAGATTCATGTAAATCATCTCAGACTTTTCAACTGCATTTGCACTTTGCAATTCTAGCAGTAAAGTTTGGGTTTTTTTTACTTTTTTGGTAGTTTTTCTGGATAGATCTGAGAAAATGATAGCATATTAAGTCCAATTTTGTATCCTTTGATCTTCATGGATCTGGATAGGTGAGCAGTTCTCCACGTCCATCATTTGTCCAAAGGCAGTTCACATTTATCTATAAATATATGTATATGCCCAGTTATCAGCTTATCCTGAGATGTTTTGTTAGTCACCACATGTCCAAGCCTGAGTGTTCCACCTAGAACACATTTTTAAGCCCATTTCTAGCAGGTATGAAGCTCAGAATACTTGAAAGAGTATTTAGACTTTTTGGCTTAGAAGTTCTACCTCCCATCCTAAAACTGTATTGATCTAACGGATCTTAATGCTCTGCTTCTGTTGAACACATAACGCTGCATTTGATCCAAAACCAAACCACCTCATTCTGGTCACCTGCCAGAAGGAACTGGAGGTCTGGACATGCAGAACTGCTCTGAACTGGGATGTCCCACCCGCTTGTCCAGCTGCAAGAATACAGAGTCTCCTTGAGGAGTTCTCAGCTGTCTTTACTAAACTGTGTATCTACAGAGGACAAAGTGTTTTAGTTTTATCTACAAGGTTGCTCATATCTACATATAGGATCTGATTTAGATGTCTAAAGTAGAAGCTTAGCATTTCTATATAGTCAAAAGAGAAAGAGGATTTATACACACATAAATATATAATGCACGTTATTCCTCTCAAGAGCTACTTTTGGCAGACATATTATATATTAGGGTTTTGACCTAACTATGATTCTTTTATGTCAGCTTCCTCTAAATTTACAGGATATGAACAGTACACAAAGTTAAGGATCGGGGGACAAATTCTACCAAATTACTGCAGTGGAAGTCTGGATTTCAAGAGCACTGCTCTGGACTTATGTAGACATAACACAGACAAATCAGGTCTAGAGGATGCTGTCAGCACTTAAATAGAATTATACTTATTTCACATTTCAGATGTCTGAATGAAGGCAAAGTAGTAACCTTAGAACCATTTACGGAGCTCACTCCGTTAATAAACACCACATAACAGGTCAAGGGCTATATAAAACTTATATAAGGCCCTTGGTATTTAACATAGACCTATTCTACATTTTATGCATAAAACATATTTACATTTAATCTGAATTGTTTACATTATCATCATGGAAAAGGGAATTCCAATGAACTAAAACGTTAATTAGAAAGATAAATTACTTCTATCATCACAAAATAAGTAAAGGATTACAGATCAGCTGGCAAAAGACTCCAGTGAGGGGGAGAAATACCGACTCTGTGCATCAGGACTGACAAGGAGTCATTGCAACAGGAACCAGAAAGTTATATTCAGGCAGAAGCACCTTCAGAAAACCAACCAGATTGAACCACGCTACACCCAAGGCTCCTACAAGGCAACAGTGAACAGCAGCACCTGCTTTGCCTAATTGTGACTTTTGTGCATCAGATATTAAAGATCCTTTGGAGGACTGGAAAGTGATTAGCTTTTGTGCACCAGCTGAACTGAGGAAACAGCCATTATATTCAAACAAGTCCAGAAAGTTCAGTGGGATAGAGGAGAAGCAGTCTGTTATAGCTAATAAACTTTCAAGTTAAACATCTCATCAGATTCCAGCTACAATTAACTACTAAGTTCATTACTGTTAACTAGCTACCTCTTGTGCATAAGATTTTACAAGAGATTTTTAGGACAGAAGCTCCACCATTCCCCAAATTCCTGTACCTTGGGGATTTCCCTACCCAGTATGCTGATGAAAAGAACTATTGCCAATGTAAAGCACCAATCATCTATACCATCAGCAGCATTTTGAAGTGCATGGTAGTGTTTGCAGTGTTGAAAAGAAAAACATATTTCATGTTGTAATGACATCAGAGATTCATTTGCATTGCATGTTATTTCCACACATAGAGAATATTCAGGGATCCTTCTCTCGTTTCAACTCCAGCTACACTCAATCCATGGGTTTTTATGTATTATAGAATGACAGTCCTTGCTACTTCAGTCAACTCAGTATCGTTTCATTGCAGTGTGTTTCCTTTGTATCTCTGGGGTTTTTTTATTCAAAGGAGTCATCAGGAACCTCTTGGAAAGGATTACATTCAAGGACTAGATTTATCAGAAGGTTTGGTAAAGTGAAAAGAGGTTGATCTCACCTAAATTTAGCCACTTAACAACCAGGCATCTGCATTATACCAGTCAGTGTCAGTGCAAGGAGATAGCTCATATCCTGAGTCACTAACTATAGCCTAAAATAACTGTACAACAGCTGTGATGAATCTCCCTTGGAGAGGCCTGTCTCTTTCCATTGATAAATACTGATACCTAGGTTTTAGACAGCTAAAGTGAGACAAGATAAGTCCTAGTCGGTGGTAATAAAAAGCATTTATCCATAGGTAGCTGGTTCAAATGCAATCCAACACAATATTTTGAAAAAGGTGGCACCACCTTCTCATGGCTTTTCAGTGGTGTTATCATCTTCTCAAGGCTTTTCAACTGTTTGAAAACACGATATTTGAAAACACAAAACAATGGTAGTTGTGCACACCGCGAGCAGATCTGTTTCACAGATAACGTCGTCACCATCCACACTTCTGTACGAACCAGATCAACTAAATCAGAATTGCCTGAACTCCTAAAATGACTGTCTCGACCGAGTTCCGTAGAGAAATGGCAAAGGATGGCGAAGGGAAGGGCTGTTGTGGTGGCAGAGCTCAGCCGGAGCGAGGAAGTACCATGGAGAGTGTTCGAGGGAACCTCCCCTCTCCCAAAGCCGGGACAACTAAGCCAGTTTTCCAAACCCTGGTGTTTCTCCAGACTGAATGGCAAACCTTCACAAAGTCTGCTGATCACTGCTAGCAGGCTGTTAGTCTTTCGCAAGAGCTAAAGTTTTCAGTTTTTAGCCAACAGCAAGCTGTTACCAAATGAATGGCTCCTAGGCGTAAGTCACACCTAATTTAGCAATCTGAGCAAAGCAAGAAGAACTGAATGACTATTTGGAACAGGATCTATCACATCAGTCCCAGCTCTGTGTTGTCACTCAGCCTCCAAACCGAAGTGCTTTATTCTGATGGGCTGGATACACTACACTGACACTCCAACGAGTTTATTTTAAAAATAAACAGCAGGTTTCCACTTTCAACACTGCAGGCTTTCCAGTCACTCACTGCACAGTATATTTTATATACACTTCCTACAACATTCTTTTCTAGATAAAATGGCATTTGCACAAAGGAAAAAGGCGTAAGATGTGTGTTCAGTACAAATTGCTGCTTGGAGGTAATTTGTAACCTCATTCTTGATACTGAAGGCAAATCTCTGAAACCTGACTCATAGCTTTGTGGGATTTTTTAACAAATATTTATTTGCATTATATGGAGCTCTGATGTTTGTCTTTTTATTTGACAGAGGTGTAAGCACATTTGCTATGCTAACCGGCACTTTACCTTTCACGGTGGAACCTTTCAATATCAAACAACTACATCAAAAGATGTTAATTGGAGAAATCAGCCCTATTCCGTCAGATATCTCCCCTGGTAAAGCACTCCAATTTTTATAAAGAATAATGGTCTATAAAAGGTCTAACACATGTAATAAAGTGAACTTAGCAATAACGCAATCTTCTGGAAAATAAGAAATACCTTTCCCATTTGCTTTGTTTGCATTTAGAAATAACTTTTGTTTGCCTTCGGCATGATCTCTTTATCTTAGGCTTGTAGGAAAATAACATTGTTGCCTCTTCAAAGGACCACTATTCTTGGTTCTTACAGTGGGAATAAAATGTACATTGCTTTTACATAAGTGGAGCAGTTGTGCAGAAATTAGGACAATGTCATGTTTCGCATGTCCCATGTTGTGTGTCAAAGCCAAAATCAGTTATCAAATCCTTAGATAACTTTCCCTGAAGGGCTTATCTTTTGGCTGCAGACAGAACACACAACACTGAGATAATTAAGGAAACCCGATGGCTATTTTTGTGAAGAGTCTGGTCATATTTTTCATGAGAAAGAACTGTAATACAACAATCTTCAATGAATTTTACTTTCAGTCTTTAGTGAGGTACAGTCTATGGAGTCTTTTAGGACAACTGGGAAAGATAGTTCTCAAGATCTCTAGCCTGAATTAGAGCCCATGGCTCTAAAACCCAGAAGTCATCTAGGTGCATATACACTCTGGGTCAGCAATCCAAAATCTACTTCCTCAGAGCTCAAAATTCTGCCGCTTTACAATGACTCCTACACACTTCTGGCTTTCTCTCTATTTTCTTCACCCCTATTTTCTCTACCTGGAATAGCATCTTCTCTTGGGCCACCTCTCATAGCTGTGTTCGTGGAGCTTCACTGACCAAGTGAGAAAGCAGAGCAGAATGAGACCTGTTTTGCCCAGTTCTCTACCAGCATGAGCTCAGATCTCCCCATGGTTTTGAGCAGCATTTCTCAGACGTTACACAAAAAAAAGAGCCCAGGAACCAAGATTAGCTCCAGCGGCTGCCTGCAGCCAAGCGCTGGGAAGCAGCAGGCAGTTCCAGAATAAGCTGGCTGGATCTAGCCCTTAGTTACAGTCCTAAGATAATGTGATGATTCAATCTCTATTTCTCCCCAAGTAAATGGTATGAGGTACCATAGCTGTCCAGAATATTTGTGCATTAGTCTCTCAGTTATCTTCCTTTGGAGATTGGTTGCCAGATAACAGCTCCATTTTTCTACAAGCCCCTCCATAGCTGCAATTATTATATTACTAATTTTTCTTATTTATGCTATTGTTATAGCTTCTACTAATAAATGCATTATCTCTGCTTTTCTACAAAGCCCACACAGTTACTGGAAGATTGTGGATAAGTCTATTGTTCCCTTGCCCGTTGGGAATTTAGTGAAAGAGCAGTAGTAAACAAGCTTTGCATACTTTAGATCTAAGTTCCTCTGAAGGAGATTACAAGTGAAAGGATCAGTATGTTCCCAGTTCAATGCTCACTTGCCATTTTGCTCATTTCAAAGCTTCCCCAAGAAATATGGAAGAATTCGGTGGAGTTTTCTCAAGAAGAAAAAAAAAAAAAAAAAA